ATTCTCTGTGAGGCCTGCTCAGAGCAGCGTCAGTGATCTGTGCTGCCCGAGCTGCTGCAGGGCTGGGGGGGCTCTCCTGCTGCAGGGGCTGCTGTGTTTGATGCAGACACAGGGTGTTTTTTTTCAGCCAGGAAGGGCTGCACCTCAGTGACAAAGATCTGTTTTACCACTTTGTTAGAAGTAGCCTGTGTAGCCAGGGCTTCTCACAGCTTGTGCTTCAGCCTTTGATGTTTGGGAAGCTGTTCTGCAAGGTGCAGAGTGAGCAATGGCTGCCACCCCCAGCATTCCCAGCAGCAGCAAAAAAAGTGGAAATACTCTGCTTTGGGAAGTCTTCTGATGCCTCTCTCCAAACTGGCAGCAGGATTGCACCCAGCAGAGCAGGGGTATCACCCTGTGGGGCAGCTAAAGCTTCTCTCCTGTGATGGAGCCTCCCAGGGTTTCCCTGGGGGACTGAGCCACCCAAAGGTCTCAGGGTCAGGAGGCATCTCAAATTATTCACACAACGTTGATTCTTGCTAATTCTACCCCAGCCAGCTGGTACTCCTGGTCACAGCACCGTGCAAGTCCACAGGAAAAGACGATTCAAATTTGAATCATTTTGGCCTTTTAAAAATTAGAAGTAAAATGCAAGTGCTTCTGAGCTGTCTGTGAGGTGGAACCCAGCCAGGCTGCCAGGGATCTCCATGGAGAGCTGCTGGAGCTGCCGACCATCTTAACCCTGGGACTTCTGATGCTGTGGCAGCCCAGCAACCTAATTACCAGGTACCAGAAGGTGAGCTGGCAAGTGACGAGGCAGGTTTCTGCCAGAACCCTGTCTCACATGGAGCATTCCTTCCCAGGCAGACGTGACACACTGACAGTTGGGCACATTCTGGGAGGGGAAAAAAAAAATATGGCACATTCCATGGTCCTGCCTGAGGAAAAATGCTGAAGTGAGTTTCTCATTGTGGTGGGTTTGGTGGCAGCACAGACACTGCTGCAGATTCCAGGGGCTGCTGGAAAGGAGCTGGGATGGCAGAGAAGGGAACAGCTCGAGCAGGGTGGGGGGGTTTGTGGCTCCCACATCGTGTCTCGCATCGAAGACGTTTGTTATAGAATTATAGAATCCCAGACTGGTTTGGGTTGGAAGGGACCTTAAACATCATCTAGCTTCAACCCTCCTGCATGGGCAGGGACACCTCCCACCAGCCCAGGCTGCTCCAAGCCCCATCCAACCTGCCCTTCAACACTGCCAGGCATGGGGCAGCCACAGCTTCCCTGGGCAGCCTGGGCCAGGGTCTCACCAGCCTCAGAGTGAAGAATTTCCTCCTCATGTCTCACCTAAATCTCCCCTGCTTGAGTTTTAATCCATCCCCCCTTGTCCTCTCCCTCCCTGCCCTTGTCCCAGGTCCCTCCCCAGCTTTCCTGGAGCCCCTTCAGGCACTGGAAGCTGCTCTAAGGTCTCCCTGGAGCCTTCTCTTCTCCAGGCTGAACACCCCAACTCTCCCAGCCTGGCTCCAGAGCAGAGCTGCTCCAGCCCTCCCAGCATCTCCAGGGCCTCCTCTGGACTCTCCAGCAGCTCCATCTCCTTCTTACGTTGGGAACTCCAAAACTGGACACAGTTCTCCAGGTTGGGTCTCACAAGAGCTGAGTAGTTATTCGATGTCTTTGAAAGCT